CGTTGCATAATCTGCAGCTGAGGTCTCCGTTGTACAGCCCCATTTTATTCAGGTGTCCTCTAAGAAAATGACCGGTTAGTAGGCCTGTAATTATTCTGAGCCGATCCCTACTATATTGAAGTAGTTCTTCGGTTCTTTTCTCGGACGGTTCCCTAATGAAGGTTCTACTGTGTTAGTTGACAGGTACTTTTGTCTAGTACTCTGTATGCTTCTTATTGGTCCATGTCCTAATATGGTTTCGTACCAGTGATTTTGGTATCCCAGAGCTGGTTCAGGACCTATATATGAAGTCGATGATCCGCGTCTAGCGCATTCATCAGCTTTATCATTACCTGTGATTCCTGAATGCCCTGGCACCCAGTACAAAGTTAATTTGTTCCTGTTTGCAAGTTCATTCAGTTCTTCATGGCATTTCCAGACCAGTTTTGATGTCACCTTCGGGTTTGTCAGTGCGCTCTTGCTGTCTGTAAAAATATTGATCCGCTCATTTCTTTGAGGTGTCAATTTATTAAGCCTTACACACTGCATGATAGCATACAGTTCCGCCTGATAGACGGATGTGTATAGTCCTAGCGGATAGCTGTAGTTTAGATTTCTATCCGCTCGGTATATTCCAGCTTCTGTTCCATGTTTGGTCTTCGATCCATCTGTATACCAGGTGTTTTTCCAAACATGTTTTCGGGATGACTAATGGTCTTCCACTCTTCACGGCTTATAATTTTGACCGTGAAGTTTGTGTTAAAGGTGTACTTCGGTGTCATGTGGTCCGTGCACGTATTCAATATGTGCTCCTCCACTTGTTTCGAAAATTCTGTTCGGTCCGGTCTTTTGTAGTTCGGTGAGTTTTCCAGTCTGAATTGGCCCATCCTGGCCTCCCCCATTATCACAAAGTGTAAAGGAGGTAGATTCAGGAGTGTCTCCAATGCAGCTGTTGGGATAGTTCTCATTGCTCCCGTCATTCCCAAACATGCAAGTCTTTACACCTTGCCTATTACTGCCCAAACGTTAATTGATTCTGGATATAGGGTGTGTGTTTCCCGCAAAACGTGAGGGTTGGTGTCACTCCAATAACGGCCATTTTATCTGTTAACGTTGCCGTTTTAAAAAAATGTAGATTCTTCACTGAAACAAATATTGTGGTAGGATGCCTTGCAATGTTTTCCATCATGATTTCGCAAAATTCTGTTCTTCGATCAGGTTCATCTTAAGTTAGTTGGTGTACCATTTCAATTTTGTATGGATGATACCTATTCCTCTTGAAAAGTCGCCACACAGTAGAAGGAGACATATCACAAACATTCTCGACGGAATAAGTAGACTGTTCAGGATTTACTACCATCTCACCAATTATTTGCACTAGCTGTTCTTCCGGAATGGACGGATGACATGGGGGCTTCTTGTTATATACACTACCGGTGGTAGTGAATTTGGATACAAGTTCCCTCAAATATTTTCTACAGATAGAACGATTCGGAAAACGTTCATTGAAAATCATTTTGGTCTCGTGAAAGTTACGCGTCGCATCGTAAATAAAAATCGCTTCAATTTTGTCTTCCAATGGACGATAATTGACCAGTTTAGAGATTGTTGACGTGGTAGCTTTCTACTAGTAAAACCGAAAACTAAATAATAATATTCTAACTGAACAATGATGTTCATTGTTGTACTGACATTTTTTGTCGTTTTTATAAACAAAAAATAAGTTAACAAACCTTATCGGGTTGTTGGAATTGCTATATGGCAGATAAAGAGAAATATTTCTAGAAATATCGATATTAATGTGTTTGTCTTCAGGAAATTATTGAATGTTCCACCATTTTGTAGTAGGTTAAGATATTGACTTCATATTCTAGAGTTGTGAAGTATTCGTCAGGAGCTTCAAAATGATGTGTCACAAGACCCCATTTTTTATTTAATTTTTTTCCCAGATGGCGCCTAGTCGCCATATTTAAAGTTTCACCTGTCAATTTTACTTCAAAATAAAGTATTCATGCATTAATTTTATTATCCCAAGATTCAATTAGTATAGACAGGCCTGAAGAAGTTATAGCGAAGTACGTGTTGCTTTTTTGTTTAAAAATCTTTGAAAATCTCATTGAATACATCTATTGTTGTGACAACAGATATTTATAATATTATTACCAGAAAGGCATATTTTGGAAAAGTTTAACATCCTGTATTGGAAACTTTGTATTTCTGGACCTATGTTTATATGAACTTTTTCAAAAATTTGCTCCTAAACAAACCCCCTATATTTTTTCACCAATTGGGAAACATCCTATAAAGACAATTGTTCATTAGAACTACAAAATGTTGAAAAAAGCAAATGGCATAAATTCAATGTTATTTGGGTGAAATTAGTAGGTCCGAAGTGAAATTGCAAAAATTCAAATAACTTTTTTTGAAATTTTATCAAAAATGTGATTTCTTTTTGGCGAATAACAGTTTGCACAAACCAATGCCTAAGTCCAATTTTCAAGTTAATCTATTGATTTAAAATTCACATATATGGGATGTACACGTTACATTTACGATTAGGACCTATCCCAGGCCCATGTACTAAAAAGTTAGTTTTCAAAGTGTCGGATGCGGCATGTGGCCGTACTCCCACACACATGCCAACATAACTTACACCTTATCTGATTAGCGCATGGCCAGAGATGCCTACTTAACCGCACAGATGCGACACACTCGACTAGATGGCCGCCTTTACCGCCACCACAACGGCACGGCCTCGGTGCCGAGTGCTAGGTGACCGTGCACCACCGATAAATCACTCTAATCAGTTTACAGAGCTTTCGACAAAATTTAGGTTGCCACTACGAGAAACACCCAAAATTCAATTTGTATAGTTGCTGCCAAATTGAATCAACGATGAAATGTCAGACTCCACAACCGCTGTGAAGATGGATAATTACTCAAAATCGTGTTCGAGGACTAATGAGTATAATGGGGGTCAACATGAAAATCATCATATTACACACATCACAAATTTTCAGGAATACCTGTTATATTTTCAAAAATGTCTACAGATGATGTTTACAAGTATAATCTCATTATGGTACTTTCTGTTCTACATAACAAACAAGACATCTTTTGTAGTGTACATTTTTGGATTTCGTTTCGAGAATAAAAAATAACGATATGCCTGGTTAGTTTTATTCAGTCACTGATTGAAAACATGCAGCAACGACATTGACATGTGAAGAGTAGTTGGGATACTCGAAGCTGGCTGAACTCCAAGTGTTGTTGCCAGGTGTAATCGATCGAATATGGAACATATACCGAGAGACTGGAGATGTGCAGATCGTACCAGATCCACACAGACCGTTCGGAACCGAGAGTTGATGCGGTAGTGTGTGGACGGGTCGGGTTTATGGAAAACCATTCGGGTACCTTCTCTCCGCCACACAAACCTCGTCGTACTTAGCTTACCTTCCGCAGCCAAACCCAGAGTATTAGGGTATTCTCCTTACACCCAAATTGTGCAGGTGTTTTCAGTCGCAGACCCAGGACAGAGTTATCTACCTGCCTAGGAACTTATGCGACTGTATTTTAAGCGGAAATTTACGCTATTGAATTGTGTGCGGAGAGATTGGATAAATCCAACCTCACTCACAAGTCAATAAAAATATTCTCGGACAGTCAAGCGGCGTTGGAAGCTCTTGGCTCCCACCGAGCAACGTCTAAATTGGTAGTAAACTGCCAAAAAAGACTATCCTCGATAGGAAGACTAAACAGATTGTCTCTGGTCTGAATTCCTGGCCATACTGGCCCGGAAGGCAATGAAGCTGCTGACTCTTTTGCAAAGGATGGTGCTGCAAGCGGCTTCATTGGACCCGAACCTGTCATTGGCATCGCTTTGGGCTTTGCCAAACAAACACTTCAAACACTTAACACCTGGATGGCAAGAAGAGTTATGGACTTCTGGCAGAATCTTCCAGGATTGGCTCACTCCAAGGCGTTTATTCACCCTTCGAAGCTTGATTCCAAACAGTTGTTGGACTACAGTAGGGATGAACTACGATGTCTAACAGGCCTTCTTACAGGTCACTGTCATTTGAATCATCACATGCAGAGACTTGGACTGTCGGAAGACAGTGTGTGTCACTTCTGTCTGGAAAATGATGAAACTGCAGAACATATACTTTGTGCGTGCCCCGCTGGGGACCGAATCAGGTTCTTTGAGTTCGGCAGATTCGTACTCTCACCATCTGACCTGAAAGACCACTCACCATACAAACTAATCGGCTTCGTTAAGAAGCTGGGTTCATTTTGCCGAGTGTGAATAGGTGTGAGCCACAATAAACCCTTATGGGTGGGTTGCGGTGGAGGGTCGAATAGACCCACTCACTTTAGACCTACCTACCTACCTACACCCAAATTCGAAGGGCAGCGTAAGAGCAGGTACTGACTGACCAGTACTGATCACATCAATAATGACCGACTTTCCTCAGAGAGTGCTCCGGTCGCACACTTGCTTCTGTCGAAACAGAGGGGCAAGTGTGCATCCTCGATAGAACTTTGAGTTCTATTCAGGTATCTGAATGAGACTATCCATGATCATAACAAATTTTCACACTGATAACTTTACCACAGACATACTTCGCTGAACAGTAGCTTCCTCAGGCGGACTGGTACGACCAGTCTGTGTGTTTGACTGAGGAAGCTAATGTTTAGCGAAACGCGTCTCATGAATGTGAAAATTGTTTTATTATCATGGATAATGTTATTAATTTTCGGGTCAATGTATTAATAATCTGAATAAGAACTACAACCACCAGCAACGACAATAGATAGGGGTAATTATAACTTTAGTAGAGATAGGTCTACTACTTTTTCTTCTATCACTATTATTTGTATCAATATAATTGTCAGATAAAAATAAAGTTGAGAATACCTTACGGGTATTATCAGAAAAACGGTAAAAGAATGAATCATTCAAGGTATATTATACGATAGGATATATTTTTAAAGCTGATGATAGTTTTTGTTTTCAGCTTTTCGGTGTGTGTTGGTGTTGTGGAACAACTGGCTCGGTGCTGCTTATCTGTGAGGGGACCAGTACACGACATACCTCCCGCATGCGCCTTTTTGTTGGCTGCGTTAGAGTTTTTGGCTGCACTAGCCGATCATTGCCCGGAAGATTCTGATCCAACACATCTGGTGAGAGCAAAACATATTAGATTTTTATTTGAAACATTTTGAATTCATCCTAATAGGTATGGTAAAAAACCTTCAATTAATTTAGGCGATTTTAATGAGTACAAGAATAAATAGAGTACCATCTCTCTTATGTATAGATATTTGCGAGACCTGTTTCTGTGGGACAACTTGTCCTTGATGAATTTTCCTAATAAATGCAATTTCTTCACTTTTGCTTATCAGTATCAAAACTTATTCAGCAAGAAAATGATATACAGGGTATACCATGTTCTGTCGGATATAATCCAACGCCCTTCGTGGTATTAGCCAGGGGAGTAGTTGTTTTCTGATAGGTGTCAGTCCATTAACCTACTGTGTAGGTAATTTGAGGCTGGGCTGAACGAAGTGTTCTTTTATATAATTTGATTTACAGCCAGTCTCCAAATATGTTTGTTTGAAATATGTCCAAGTATGCCCACTCAGTTTGTGAACTTGTCTAATCACCTAATCAGTTGGACACAGCGTTTACAAATAATAAAATTTATTAATGACACCAACAACACGACAAACAGAAGAAAACAGTGTAACCTCGTGAATTAGAATAATGATTAGTTCCCGGACGAAATCCCTGAATAGACTGGATGCATCGACTAAGAAACAGTGTTCCCAGTAAAAAATTATCTGTAACATCGATCGAGGTCATAAATTTAGTCAAGAAAGGTCAACCACTTGGGCCCTTGTCTTAATCCAAAAAGTGTTAACAATGAGTACCTACTCGAAACAACCCAAATGGTTTTGTTCTGAATATTCATGTGTTTTTTCGTTTCGAGAGAAGGGAGCATTCCAATAATATACGATAAGAAAATACGAAAATGATAAGTAATAATAAAAATAAAAGAATTAACATAAAAACCCAAGAAGATAGATATTTTGAACGCCTGCGCGATAAAAGGGTTATAAAATGTTAATTTTGTAATGAAAATTTTTGATACAAAATAAACATTAACAGAGGAATAGGTACAATGTTTCTAAACTAAATAGTTGTAGTAAAACAGAAACAGATAATACAAACGCTACATAATGTGATGTGAGTATTGATATAAAATGATCTTAATGATGGAGAGTTAGAAACCATAAAAGCTTCTTCTCCAAAATCTGATCTGTCCAAACAATATCTTTTCCATTCAAATATAATTGGTTAAAGGAATGGAAATCTCATCGAATCGATGTAAAAATATTGTATTGTTTATAAACATAATAATATGCCGTCATTTGTGAATGATTTTCACTTTTAACTACCTGAAGGTTTTTTACTGGCATTCGTCAATTTTTTCATTTCTAGACCATACAAATTTTGTTAAATGTCACCAACATTTTCCTGTCGATAAAATTTCTGTAATAGATTGAAAGCAATTTTTATCAGTTCAAACTAGTAAAGCAAGTGGAATACTTTTCATAAGTAAAAAGTATCCAGTATAACAAAAATGCAATTTTTATACAGGTAAGCACTCTGCATGGCACCGAACTTCTAGGCTGTGTTTCCATGTTATACGGATCTCTTCTACCGCCTGATTCAACGCCCAGGGTTGAAGGTCAGTTGCCTCCAGTGATACCAGGTCCATGTCTGAGTTTGGCATCTGTAACTTTCAATTTGTTGAGGAGAGTCGCCGAGCTCGATCTGAAGAAATTCCAGGTGAGACTCCATATACTGTTTGAAAATTTATGTCAAATTCTTTGATAGCCAATTGCAATAATTCTGGTTTTGTTAATTTTTTCAAAATCAATGTTGTTTTCGTGTAACCAACTAACAATTTCCGGTTTTCTTGAAGAATTGGTAGGCTGTTTATTCAAAATTTCACTGTGGTATGGTGCATTGTCCATTATAATTAAAGATGGTTCTTCTAAACTGGGAAGTAACTGTAAAGTAATCCACTTGGTGAACATTGTACTATTCATTTCTCCATGCTAATCTAAGGTCAAAGATTTTGAACAGAACAATAAACTGGCTTCTGGAATAAACCCTTTCATAGAACCAGCATGCACAACAATAAATCGTTTACCATCATATCCTTCGGGTTTGCGTACACTTTTTACATTATTATCCTGCCAAGACTTTCTTTAATTTCCTCTAGAATAAATCCATGTTTCATCTAAGAAAATCACTTCTCGTGGTTTCAAACTTCTTCGGTTTTCCCGGTATTTGCGTAAAAAAATGCTCGTTGTGAAACGATATTAGGTTTTTCAATCAAAGCTCTTCGATTATCATCTTTTTCAAATTTAAATCCCAGCTCTTTCAGCTGGGATTTGCACTAGAAACAATTTCCTTATTTTTCAGCTCATCGTTCAAAGATCGAAGGGTAAGATGTTTTTCTGGAAGAAAATATTCAAATTGATATAGGTACATTTCAAAATTCATAGAATAGGAGAATTGATATTATAACTACACTTCAAATACGAGATTCAAGTGAACCTTCAAATGTTAAAGAGAAATATATTTGACAATAAAGTTTGACTAGTTAACTAATTATCATACATCCAAGGCCTTAGTGATAAAATAATGATAATAATGATAATAGACTTAATTCGTTAAAATTTCACATGAAACTATAATTATTTTGTATTAGAAAGACAAATAAACAAATACAACCCTACGAAGTAGAAAACTTGTGGTAAGGATAATTCAATATTTTCAAATGACTAATTGCACATTCAGATACGATGTTTAAAAATGCATAACATCATTAAAAAATTGTGTGGGTGTTTCAATGATCTACTTGTTAACATTCTTCTTGAATAATAGAAATATTGCTAAAAATTTTGGCATATATGTGAATAAGTGAATATTCATCAATTTATTTATCCTATTGATTTATAACGTATTGAAAAATAAGGTCAATAATAAAATTTTGCGGAATACATTCTTTCGATTTGCGCCGTGTTCAGTTTGTTGGTGAGACGCATAAAAGTTAGAAGTGTTTTGCGTGTTTGACGATTTTCTGCTATCGAAAAAGATGGATTGAAGAATTTGCATCAAATTTTTTCAAAACAATGGATTCAGGTTCTCAAAAAACTAGAAATGTTGACGGTGGCATACGGTGATTGTACGATTCCGAAAAATGTTAACAAGTGGTACAAGCTCTTCACAGAAGGTCGAGAAGATGTGAATGAGGACGTTCGCCCTGGACGCCCCAGCATATCAAAAATCGATGAAAATGTCGAGAACCTGTAGAAAATTGTTATGAAGAATCGTCAAATTGCTATTAGAGAAGTTGCTGAGGATGTCGTCATATTGGTTGGCTCATGCTATGCAATTTGCTGAATTTTGACAATGAAAAAACCGTCGCATTAGCATCGCTCAGGATTTGTTGAATGACGTCAACGGCGATCTAGATTTGCTTGAAAGAGTGATAATTAGTGACAAATCATGGGTATATTGTTATGACAGCGAAACCGAAGCCCCAGGAGAGTCAAGACCAAAAAAGCAAGCCAAGTTGGATCAAGTGTAATTTTTTGGTCACAACCAAGATTGTAATCGTGCCTCAGTCACCGTATTCACCAAATTTGCCCCCCTGCGACTTTTTCCTGTTCACAATATGGAAGAGACCACTGGAAGGAATTGAGGAGATAAAAAACGAATCGATAAAAAACGAATCGAGGACTTACCAAGAAGTTCATATCAGAACTGCTTCGAGGATTGTTGTATATATGGTTATGGCAGCATGCAAAAAAAATCAGAGGTTGCATCAATTACTTTCCTTCACAATTGGCAAAGAACTGATAAATTTCATAATTAATCAAGTGCTCAATGAAATCGTATCAAGGGTTGAAACATCAAAGCATTATTCGGTTTCATTTTACTCTACTCCCCACGAATCTCATTCCAATCAACTTACTATAAAACATAGGCTGAAGAGACCCGTAATCTCCATAATGAGACACACAATTATTCCAGCGCCGCTCTAACATTTCAATACCACGTAATCGCTTCATTCGAACGAAATTTTTTACCGGTGAGCATCATTTTGAGGTCTGCGAACAGCCAGTAGTCGCTAGGAGCCAAATCTGGCCAATGCGGTGGATGTAGGAACAATTCGAAATTCAATTCTGTAGTTTTGCCATTTTGATTCACTTGTGACACGGTGCGTTGTCTTGAATAATTTCTGAAATTTTTTTTTGACATATGCTTTTATTTCTTTGCAATTTCGGCCATCAAACGCTACAATAACGCTATATAAAATTCACTGTTGATAGTATTTCCCTTCTCAAGATGGTCGATAAATACTTATTACATTGATGCATGTTTCATACATCCGGTTTGTTATGTTTAAACGTGGCCAAACACTGCTTAGAATCATCAAGACGTTCTTGTTTTTTGGTTAACACTGAGCTCGCGCGGAACCCACTTTGAACAGAGCTTTCTCATAGTCAAATGCTCATGCAATATAAAACCAACACGTGCATTTGATATGTTCACAATGTCGGCTAACTCACGCAACTTCACTTTTCGATCATTCAAAACGATTTTATGGACTTTTTTATGTTTTCTGGTGTTACTGCCTTATTTGGACGTCCACCGTATTTTGCATCAGTGATGGTGTCTCCACGACCACGTTTGAAGTCAGCAAACCAATGTTCAATTGTTGTTTCTGATGAAGTGGAGTCCTTATAATACTTTTCAAGCCATTGCTTCTCTTTAACGGTATTTTTACCCATCAAGAAACAGTTTAAAAGTAAAAGGCGAAATTGTTTTGAAAACAACAAAAGTAGTGTCACTTTTAGCACAATAATTTGCAAACTTATGAGTAAAATATCATGAACTTTCTTTTGAAGGTTAGTACTAACTGAAAAATCGGTGAATACAATAAGACTATCGCCATCTATGTGTTAGGCCCGAGGCTTTTCGGCCCAGGGAGTAGTTCGATATGTTGAAGAATCGTTGCGGATTGAACGATTTTTCACTTTCTTACCAAACTGCGGTCTAACCGGTGGTGAAAGCAAAAGCTTCACTTCAATTTTAAGGTGCTCATCAAATTGATATTCTAGATTACCGCAGTCAATCGTACGACAACGCTATAGATATAAGTGGCAAATACAAAAGGATGCAAGCTCTTATTTTATAGAAAAATAATTTAATCGGCATTTGTAGCGTGTTGTGGTGTTTCACTCAACTTAGTTGGAAAGACAGCTGCTAACTCTTGAGTTCGTTCAGAATTTATATACGTTTTTTCAGCAAGGGGACAACAATACCGAATTCTATTTGAAAAACTGGCAGAGGAAAAAGTGTACGGTCATTGTTTTTAGGCAAACTGAAAAGTTTTTCCTTTACTTCACTTCTGTAGAGTTATTTGAAATACACTTGTTACTAGCTAAATGAATATATGCGGATCATTTGAGTTTCCTAAGATTTTCATGAGTTTTTTTGGTGATGATTCTTGTTTCACTCCATTCTATAGCGTGATCACCAGCATATTTAGCCGTTACTACGTGGTAGGAAATCATGATGAAGAAAAAAGAAATGAAACTTTCTATGTTTTTTACCACTTTTATTTGTAACTAATGTTACTCCAGTTTCGTTCTATACGGACATTTTCAAAGTTATACTTATACTTATATCAGGAAAATTGCACTGCAGCTGAAAGTCAGCCCAACAACCGTATGGAGAGTCTTAGAAACCTTCTATACCTATATCACATTCAGCTGGCCGAAGCAAATTTTCCACGAGATGCTATTATGAAACTTTCATAATTACCATTTTTGGGCCGACGAAAATCCACACGTTATAAGAGAAAGTCATTTTCAGCAATAATTTTCGCTGAACGTTTGGGTAGGAATGGTTGGTGACTACCTAATTGGCTCATTTTTTCTACCCGCAAGATCAACCGATGAAACCCACGCGGACTTTTTGCGAGATCATTTATCCATTTTGGTAGAAGAAGTGCCGGTACTTGTAAGAAACAACATGCGGTTTATGCACGACGGGGCTCCAGCTTATTTCAGTTTTCTTGCTCGTCAGCAACTCGATTGGACGTGCAGACATTGAATCCTCCAGATTTCTATTTATGGCGTCATCTAAAGGCTGTTGTTTCTAAAACTCCTGTGCTAGATGTGAATGACTTGAGGAATCGAATATTTGACAATTGCAATGTCATAAGGAATACTCCAGGTATTTTTGAACGTATCAGACAACTAATGACAAAGCGATTGCAGTCGTGTATTTTATCTGAAGGTGGACATTTTGCTCATTTACTTCAAGGTCAAAATTGTTTATTATTTACCTACTTTTGGTTTTTATTCTATGTTGTCCATGGATAGTTTTCAGAAATGATTTTTGTTCTCGAAGCTTGATATGAAGAAAACACAAGCGACGAAAAAGTTGTATTTTCAGTTGGTCACTCAAAAAAAATACAGACAAGTCAGTGGCGTCCTTTTTTTCTCAATGTCTGTATGTATGCTGTTGCAGAGAAATTGGTTGAAGTCTTCAAAAACGATTTGGTTTTGGTACGAGTTGGTTAATTTGTATCTTTGATAGACTTATACAAAAGAATACTATGAAAAAGGCCAATCTAGGGAACTCTTTACTATCGCATTCTCAAAAATCGAAATTTCAGAGTTACTTTCCCGAACATTGAAATTACTTAACGAATGTACTTGGTTTTGATAGTCTCGAATTGCAATGGAGAGCGCTGGCTTTCA